AACATCACAACATCCGAGAGATTAAATAAAAACAGCTTCAATTAAATTCAATATCAGCGTTCGTTTTACCTCAACAATCCTTCTTTCCCCGCGGAAGTTCATTTAATAAATCATTGATAGCGGCTATATTTAATGAAAATGTTTGGGGTGGCAATACTTCTGTCATAAGAAAATGTAAAGGCTATTAACTCAAAAAAATTGTAGAAAAAATGTTTCGACAAAATTGAGGATTGGTATGACGGTGGTGGAAGTAATTACGTTATGCCACAAGGTGGATAGTCAATAGTGTATCTTTCAGCTAATAGAGAATAATGCGTTTTTAGCGTGTAAAACGGCCAGCCTTTTTTCCTGAATACTTACATCTAACCACCCGATTCTTGATCATAATTATAATAGTATTTTAGATAGTATATATTTTTATTTTTTACATACTAATAATGTCTTTTTCATTTTTAAGCCCTGAATGGCTTCGTAGAAAAAGTAAGTTTCATCTTTAAAATTTAAGTTTATATATTATAAATTGCTATAATGTTGTTTTAATGTGGGTAATTCTCATCTCAGTTTTGTGTAGGAATCCATGGCTTCCACGACTAAAAATGAACAGACACCAAAAATCGGCTTGCGAAGTTTTGAATGCATGGTGACGGCTATACAAATCACCGCTCTACGAAAAATCCTGAAAATTAAATAAAAAATGTTTCGGCGACGTTTATGATTAGCACGATTTTGGTGGAAGTAGTATGTAGCGTCAAGTTCTTGCCCTCATTAATTTCACCCAACCACTGGGTTCTTTTTCATAATTAGAGCAGTATTTTAGATAGCATATATTTTTAGTTTATACATAATAATCTTGCCTCTTAATTTCTAAATCCTGAATAGCTGCGTAGAAAAGGCAAGTTTCCTCTTTAAAATGTGCGTTTTTATGTTATTAATGGCTATTACGTGGATGCTATACAGGTCTTTATCATCTCAGCGTTTTTAGGAATCAAAAATCATAAAAATGAATAAAAATAAAAACGTAAAACTATGTTTAAAAATCTTCTAATTTAAATAGAAAAAATTTACCTCTTTGATTTGTGATCAAAATAGTAGTGCTGTCGCCAGCTCTCGGCGCCGCACGTGTCCTCGTAGGAGCGGTCGAATTTATCCAGGCACGAATCTGTAAAAATGCAATTAAATTTTCTTTAATCGATTTTTAGCCATTTAAAGCTAATTTATTTCTGTTTGTTGAATTATTTTCCTGAATACTATGTACTCACGCAAACACAAAAAGATTTTTATGAAGTTACACCCTGCGAGAGATTACATTTTTGAGTCGTCGCAGATCGCGTTCAAAAACTGAAACACTCACTTTTCTCCTTCGTACAATTGTAGCCATTGCCCGCCCAGCCCTCCAGGCATTCACACACATAACTCCCTTCCGTATTTCGGCATTCCGCATTTTTTGTCGCAGACATATGGGGCACGAAGGCATTCGTTCACGTCTGAAATTGGGGCAGGCTAGCAGGAATTCTTTGAGGAACGGAAGGATCGAAGGACATCGATACCTGATTAGCGACAATCGCCCAAAGTGCTCCCATTTTTTGCTGAAACATTTTTTTTCAGCTATTTCTGTGTGGCGTAAAATAGCGCCAGATCAGCTCTTGGGTAGGCTAGCAGAGGTTCTTTGAGAATGCAGAGAGAGAAACACAGAGAAAGACAGACAGAAGCATTTTTAAGAATACTGACATCTTCCCAGAAGTATTAGGCGAAATCAGTCCACATTTCTCCGTTGCTTTCATGAAACACTTATTTTCAAATTCAAAAAATTGGTACTGGGGCTTGGGAGGCTAGGCTAGCAGAGATCATTTGGGATGAGAGAGAGGGGGAGGGGGCAGACTAGCAGAGATCATTTGGGATGAGAGAGAGGGGGAGGGGGCAGGCTAGCAGAGATCATTTGGGATGAGAGAGAGGGGGAGAGGCAGGCTAGCAGAGATCATTTGGGATGAGAGAGAGGGGGAGGGGGCAGGCTAGCAGAGATCATTTGGGATGAGAGAGAGGGGGGGGGGGGGCAGGCTAGCAGAGATCATTTGGGATGAGAGAGAGGGGGAGGGGGGCAGACTAGCAGAGATCATTTGGGATGAGAGAGAGGGGGAGGGGGCAGGCTAGCAGAGATCATTTGAGGAATTGGGGAAATTTAAATTACCTGTGCAATTAAATCCATCTCCTCTGAATCCCTGTTTGCATTGGCAGACTCCAGAAGTACACGTAGCATTTGTAGAGCAATCAGCACAGTCCAGCGTCGAGCGGCCTATTTAAAGCATACAAAAACCATATTCATACTGATGATTATACCAATAATAGTAGTCCCCTAAAAATTATAAAATTACTTGGGAAAAATTTGATGTTTCACTAAATCCCCAAATGTTTGAAAATTAGGGTATAGTATTATCGGAATCATTTTTTTGCGAACGCTTGATATAGTATGCACGTTTAAAATTAAATATAACAGTAAATTATTAAATTATTTTAAACTATCTTTACATGACTAATTTTATCGTCACTACTTCATATAATTTAGCGAGATAAACTTACCCAACCCAACGTAGGTACACGTTTGCCCGTCTCCACGATACGCCGCCATGCATTCGCACTGAAAAAATTATATCTATTTTCGGTTTTCGATCAATTAGAAAATATAAAACATAAAACAATTTACGGTATTGGAAAAATCACACCTTATTAGTTTATAAAAGTTTTTTGCTATTTGGGCAGAAAAACCCGATGATTTTCAATAATAAATCAGAAAAATATAGAAACTTAGCCGATTTTGGTCAAAATTTCTAATTCAAAAGGTTTTTTTTAGTTTTTTTAAGTGCTTTGCCACTTGAAATAATTTCAATTAGACTGAACAGCTTAAAAATTAAAATCAATAGCATCACACCTAAGGCATCATAAAATTGTAACATTTTTTATTACCCGACTATACGAAACATTTTTTATTCACTCCCATTTCCAATATTAATAATTCTCTGGTCTACCTGATAGTCCCCAATTCGATTCGTGCACCACGCATTTTTATCGCAGGTGGCCGTGTACCCGCGGCACTCATCGATATCTGCAAAAATATTATTGAAAATAGAAATTTCCGGTCCTTTTTACATTTATGCTTCGGGGAAAAAACTAATTCAATCAAACATCTTCCTTGTAATTCGCTGGGAACAGTCACGTTTTCTCGAAACATTAGCACGAGCGATGTGCGGAAAAAAATTATTAAAAATCCAATGCAACAGGGCGATTGAAATGTAATGTTTCATGAAAAAAGCTTGATCAAACGGAAGTATTCTTGTCAATTCGCGAAGGGCATTTTTTCGAAAAATCTCGCAAAAATATTAAAATTACGAGTTTCATCGAAAACCATCACTAAATTAAGAATCCGGTGAACAATCACAGGACGTTGCAGTCCTCGAACATATTTAACCTGCTTAATTAAAGAATTTTAGAAAATTTAGAAGATTAAACGAATTCGAACATTAGTATTTAGAACATTTAGATTCATTTTAGTTAGGATTTCGGATTTCATAGGGGACAAAATTGCCATAGTAGAATGAAGAGTTTCAGCGACGAATAGGGGGTAATATAGGGGTACGATACAGCAATTTAATGCGCATACCGAGATTTTTATTTTGCTCAGCTGATATGTTTTTCTTCTTTTAATCTGTTATTAGCTCGTTAAATTGGAAAATGTTTCACAAAAATAACATTACAATCGCAAAATGCACCGAACGATTTATTGAGTTCGGTCTAGACAGCAATTTATTTATCTGTTATTATTTTTATCTGATAATTTCTCTTCTTTTATAATGCCAGCTATGGCCTTGAAATTATTCATGTTTCACAAAAAACCGACCAAAAAAATAACAACCAATTATTAAAACGATTTTTTGGTACTTTTATATTATTTTTTTTTTTTCTTCCAAAAAAAAAATATATTTTAAAACAAAAAAAAAAAATTTTTTTAACTTTATTCGATAATTCTTTTGATCCTATTATTTAAATTTCGCCGTTAAATCGTACATGTTGCACGCAAAACCTATCAAAATTACAGTTCCATATATTTAATGTTTCAGAAATTACTCCTAAAAAATAAAAATAAATGTTTTACCAATGAAGATGAAAAACGAGAAGCACTTATAGTAATTCTATCAGGTTTTGCACCTTTAGATTTTGCAGAACAACTATATAAACCTCATTCTTAGATTGTTTAATCCGCGCCATACTGCCACCAAAAATTAAATGTTTAGCCGCCAAATATGAACGATTTAAAAATCAATACTGCAATCGAAGCATGTCAATCTCGCACTGGTTTTTCGTTATAGATTTTGTTTTTCCTCCTAAATTTTTCGCATTAAATTATGAATGTTTCACAGAAGCCTATTCAAAAATTACAAATCAGTGTAGGTAATGTGAGTTTAGCGTAGGTCCGAAAAACAGAACCAAATATTTGACGATGTTTAAGCGGGTACAAATATTGCGCTTAATTTATGGTAAATTTTTTATTATATTGTTCTAAATTTGCCTTTTTTTCAGGAATTATTCTCGTTGCCGAAAAAACCTATTAACCGCACAGAAATATATATTTAATTTATCTAGAGAGTACTCCCAGCAAAAAAATTAAAAATTAGATGTTTTACCGATGAATCTGAAAGAAACGGAAACCATTAAATAATTTTATTAGGTAAAAAATTCGACTGTTTTATCATATTTCCTTGCTCTCTAGGTTTCAATTTCGCTGCTAAATTAATCGTGTTTCACAAACAACCCGTTAAAATGATAGGGCGAAATATTTGATTTTTGAGAAATTACACACAAAAAATTAAAAATTAAAGGTGTTACCGGCGAATATGAAAGAATCGGAACCCCCATTTAAAAATTAATTATATTTAATTTATCTAGAAATACTGCCAGAAAAAATAAATGTTTGACCGGTGAATCTGAAAGAATCGGAAATTCTTCAATTATGTTATCGAAATCTGACACTCACCAACACATTCCCCATGCATATTCTTCTCGTATCCGATGCGGCACTCGCACGTGTAGTTGTACTTTCCGTGGCTTTTACAGTAGGACGTGCGTAGGTCGCAGTCATTGCAGGCTGTAAAATATATATAAAAATCAAAAATAATGATTTAAGAAATTTTTCACCAAATTTTTCGACTAGTGAACCACCGGAATTCAAAAAAAAAAATAAGTTTCGCGTGAAATCATCTACTGGCTATTTATCCAAACCTTATTCATGCAGCGTTTAGAATTATATACATCTTAACCATTTTAAACGGATTTCTAGATATTTTTTGCGTATTTTCTGGGCCCTCAAGCTAAGCAGAAAACACAAAAATTAATGAAGAAAAGACTAGAACAAAAAAAGAAAATCTGTTTCATCGAGAGGAGGATAAACGTGGGTATAAATTTTTTTAATGGGATTGGAAGGAGAAACCGTGATATCGATTTAATGATACGATTTTCTTTCCCTAATATTCTCTGCTCGCTTGCCTTAGCTGGTAACCGAGCAATGGATTTTAAAAATAATGTTTCGAATTTCGCCAAATTTACCGTAAAAGCCTACGAATTAGTTTTTCCTTTAACGTTGCAACCTTTATTTTTATTCAAAGCTGCAAAAAAGCCGTAGAAAAATTTCTGAACAATAAAAACGTTTCAGTTAGCGATCGCATAAAAAGTCGGGCAAAAAAATTAATGATGTTAAGGTTTGGTCGAGAAATCAAAAAAATGTTTTCGCTAATTAATATTCTCCGTTGGTTGCCTGCGGTGAACCGGAAATGACTTTAAAAAATTATGTTTCAAATCTTGCCCAAATGGACGCTTATTTCTAATTAAGTAATGTCGCGTGGTTGGTTGACAGCAAACTTTAATCTTTCTTTGACACTTCGGCAGCGCGATAAAAAATGCTAACATCAAAATATGTTTTGGTCGTCATAGTAAATGATCAGAGTCAAAATAAAGCATAGAAAAAACCCTAAATAATCATTTACTCTTCCTAATATTCTCGGCTGGCTTGTCCTTGCTGTTAACCGGGAAATTCATTGTAAAGCTAATGTTTCGAATTGTTCCAAATTTAGCGTCAATTTCTAGTCAATAATTCCTTCTGTTCATTGCCGTAACAATTATTGGTAGTTATTGAAAGCCGGAAAAATGTCTACACACATTTAACTTATTGATTTAAATTTTCGAATACTAAAAATATGTTTCATGTTACGGTAATAGTACAGGCGTGAAAAATGTTTTAATTAGCCAATCGTGAAGTCGAAAAATCACAAAAATATTTCCCTGCCTAATATTCGCCGTTGTTTGGCTTTGCCGCAACCCGGGAAATAAATTTTAGAAAATGTTGTTTCAAATTTTTTTGGAAATAACACACCATTTTCTAGCTCACTAATCTCGCGCGATCAACGAAACCACTGATTTCTCTTGATATCAACCCGGAAAAAGTTATATGAAAAATTGCTTACAATAAAAATGTGTTTCAAGTAGCGATCGTATTAAGAAGGTGTGAAAATAATTAAATTACTTCTTGGAATCTTTGATTCTCGGCTCGATTGCCATATTGAACATCGGGGAATACGATTTCAAAAATAGTGTTCCAAATTCTTCCAAAACCAACGTGAATTGGATTTTAGTTAATCCTTTGGTCATGTAGGTGTTACACCCGCTTAAACATACCAATCTGGGGCGACAACCGCTGGGCGCACACTTTTTGGCACAAGTGGAGCGAGTAGAATTTGTTGTCGTTCCCGCCGCAGCCGTGGTAGAAGAACTTCTCACATTCACCAGAATCCGAATTGAACCAATACCTGCAAAAGAGAGGGCAGGCTAGCAGAGATCATTTGGGATGAGAGAGAGGGGGAGGGGGCAGGCTAGCAGAGATCATTTGGGATGAGAGAGAGGGGAGGGCAGGCTAGCAGAGATCATTTGGGATGAGAGAGGGGGGGAGGGGGCAGGCTAGCAGAGATCATTTGGGATGAGAGAGAGAGGGAGGGGGCAGGCTAGCAGAGATCATTGGGGATGAGAGAGGGGGAGGAGGCAGGCTAGCAGAGATCATTTGGGATGAGAGAGAGAGGGAGGGGGCAGGCTAGCAGAGATCATTTGGGATGAGAGAGAGAGGGAGGGGGCAGGCTAGCAGAGATCATTTGGGATGAGAGAGAGGGGGAGGGGGCAGGCTAGCAGAGATCATTTGGGATGAGAGAGAGAGGGAGGGGGCAGGCTAGCAGAGATCATTGGGGATGAGAGAGAGGGGGAGAGGCAGGCTAGCAGAGATCATTTGGGATGAGAGAGAGGGGAGGGGGCAGGCTAGCAGAGATCATTTGGGATGAGAGAGAGGGAGGGGCAGGCTAGCAGAGATCATTTGGGATGAGAGAGGGGGAGAGGCAGGCTAGCAGAGATCATTTGGGATGAGAGAGAGGGGAGGGGGGCAGGCTAGCAGAGATCATTGGGGATGAGAGAGAGGGGAGAGGCAGGCTAGCAGAGATCATTTGGGATGAGAGAGGAGAGGGAGGGGGCAGGCTAGCAGAGAGATCATTGGGGATGAGAGAGAGGGGAGAGGCAGGCTAGCAGAGATCATTTGGGATGAGAGAGAGGGGGAGGGGCAGGCTAGCAGAGATCATTTGGGATGAGAGAGAGGGAGGGGGCAGGCTAGCAGAGATCATTTGGGATGAGAGAGAGGGAGGGGGCAGGCTAGCAGAGATCATTTGGGATGAGAGAGAGGGGGAGAGGCAGGCTAGCAGAGATCATTTGGGATGAGAGAGAGAGGGAGGGGGCAGGCTAGCAGAGATCATTTGGGATGAGAGAGAGGGGGAGGGGGCAGGATAGCAGAGATCATGTGGGATTGGACAGGAGTTTCGATTTAAATAGCAGCGCGTTCTTTTGCTGTTTTTAAGTTTTAAGTGTAAAGATTCAAATAGATGTAATAAGCAAAATTTCAATAAATTAATTTCCCCACAAAAAAACAGTTATTGGCTGAATAATTTTCTGGTCGCATCAGGGAACTGATGAAACATTTTTTTTAAATTAGCTTTTTTCTGATTTCAAAACTTCAACGTTGGCTTTTTTTATATAAAAAACTGGTTATTTTATATTATTTAAATTAGACTAATATGAATTAACATAGGCATTAAATAATCATACTTGTATCCAACTTTTACTTGCGACAGGGGAGCCATTCAAGCAATTAAATAGTAAAAATAACACCAGAATGCTGCAATGCGTTGAAAGATTGTTTTCGAATAATTTTTCAAAGTCGTATTATGTTTTGTAAACAATTCATATTCCCCCGATTAAAAATCCCTTACCACCACTGCCCTTTCCGGTCGTCGGGACAATGGCCGTGGTCCACCTCGAGAAGGCACAAGTCTGGAAAATTCAAGAATTCATCTTTTTTCGGTTTTATTCGATCCTAGAAACGGTCCTTCCAATCAAATCCTAATTCAAAAATCATGTTTTAGTGAAACATTTGAAGTTTTAAAATTTTCACATTCGAATTCCCAGAGAAATTATCTACAGTTTTTTACTAACCAAATTTCGGAGCTTTGGCATTATCGGGGTGGGGGGCTATCTAAACTTTTCTAACACCTCGCGAAACACTTAGTAATTGAAGGGCTAGGATTTTAATAGCATTTTTAGTAAAATTGAGCTAGATTCCGGCTAGAAAGCTATTTCAAAAGCTTATAGAACCCTGAAATGCTCGAAATCAACCATTTTATCGAAAATCAACATTTTTTTCAATTTTTTTGGATAAAAGTGGTAAAGTTATACGTTTAGGCAGTTTAAAAAATGCGTGTAAGAACGCGCCCTTATTTGTATTAAAAAAATTGGATTCCACGGAAATGTTGGGTCTCGAAGTTCCGAAACACATTGCTACTGGAAAAATTAAGCAAAGTAGCAAATTTTCCGAAACATTTTTTTCGAAACAAAATTGTGGTTTGTATGATTTTTATTTTCGTATCCGTGTTTCTGATTTTCAATATGAATTTTTTAGAATCGCAAATCTATCGGAATTACCATGAGGGAAAATAAGCAAAGCTGCCAACTTGCCAAAACATATTTTTGCAAATTTTCGAAATTGTAAATTTTCTATTGCATTACCGGGCACGGCCACCGGGTTGAACAGCTTGTAGCGGCACATTTTCAGGCACTCCTGCTTTGTGGTAAATCTAGAAAAAAATATAGATGTTTTTATATCGTTTAAATTACCTATTTTTGGTGCCCAAACAGCCTCCATAGTGGAACTCTTTGCACTGGCCGTCCGCCTCATCCCAGAACCATTTTAACTGAAAAAACTTGAATTTTCCCAACGAATCGCTGCTAGTTTGCCCTCTCTCTCTCTCGTTCTCTCTCTCTCGCTCTCATTCGCTCTTTCTCTCTTTTTCTCTCTCTCACTATCTCTGACTCCTCACTCTCTCTCCTCTCTCCTCTCTCTCTCTCTCTCTCTCTCTCTCTCTCTCTCTCTCTCTCTCTCTCTCTCTCTCGCTCTCCCCCTCTCTCTCTATCTCCCTTTGTATCACTCTCGTTCTCTCTCTTTTTCCCTCTCTCACTCTATCTCTCTCACTCTCTCTGTCTCTCTCTTGCTCTACGCACCCCCCAAAGAATCTCTGCTAGCCTGCCACCTTGCATAAATTCCTACCTGAAAAGTTTGACAAGGTCCCTGATCGACCGGTTCCAAGCAGCGATCTTCTGAAAAAAAATGTTTCTGAAAAATTTCCCATTAAACACGAAGCCCTTTTCCTAATCTGCCGTTTTTTGAAAGATCATTCGAATCATTTAAAATCAACAAAATAGAACATAAATAAATTTGATGCCTCATAAAGTTACCTGGAGTCTCAGCTCTGGTGTTTGAAAGTAGCAGTCCAATCGCAACAAGCAAAATGACCCATTTTTCCAGCATTTTTCAGCCTCAAAAAATCGCCAATGCCTGGAATCCTGGAATACTGTTGCAGAATAGTTTTTTGGGCGAGTATTTCCACCGCTTGGCGCCCAACAATGGGCCCCAAGCCATTTGGGGGGGAGGGCCCATCGTTTAATTCGTAATGCATGCATGGATTGTCAGAAGGAGGCCGGGGGGCCATCTTCATGCATTTTTGGGGGCCCACCGGGGCCCCCAAAAATGTCTCCAGATGGGGGATGATGAAAAAGGGAGTTTCCTAAATGATCTCTGCTAGCTTTTTTAAACCTTTTTTGTAAATTCCAATTTCTTAAAGGGTGTCTCGTCACTGCCTAAATTCATTTTCAGGCTTCCCGAAAAGAAATTTTGTGTTTCAAAAAATATCTGCTTGGCCAATTGGGCAAAAAGCTAATGTTAGTTTCAAAAATATTTATTTAGTTGAATTGAATTCTTTTAGTCTTTAGTTCAGTTTTAGTTTTAATTTTTGGGTGATCGGCTTTTTTTGGCCGAAAATTGCTATTTTTTTTTGTATTATTAATCAAAATTTGTAAAGTTGTTTAGTTTAGAAACACGCCTGCATCTATATTTCAAAAATTGGACCCTAAAAAAAGGTTTTTTCTCGCCCGATAATTCGAGAGGACCAAACAAAAGACTAGAGGCCGTCGATTAATCGCACCTTCTTGCGGCTCACTAGTGCAATTTTCCCGAACATTCAAATTTTCGGTCAGTTTTTCAGAAAACAATTAGTAGACGCGCACGGCATTAAAAAGTTATTAAAGAGAGAGATAATATACGGTGAATGTTTATTTGGCATAATGTCATTTGGCATAATTGTCATTTGGCATAACGTTATTTGGCATAATGTGATTTGGCATAATTTAGCCTGCTTATTCATATCACACAACATCACAGGTAAAGGGAAAGACAAGGACAAAGACGTTGCTGGGTGGAATACGACCCGCGGGGGTTCGGACTTCTTCGGTTCTTCTTCGAACCGCGTTGGCGCATCTTTTCGTACTTGACATCGATCCGAACTTGATAGGCACCGAATTCCTTGAGGAACTGTTAATTGTTGTTGTGGAAATTGTTGATTTGGCGTGCGAATTATGCCAAATAAGATTATGCCAAATAACGTTATGCCAAATGACAATTATGCCAAATGAAAATTATGCCAAATGAAAATTATGCCAAATGAAAATTATGCCAAATGAAATTATGCCAAATGAAAATTATGCCAAATGAAATTATGCCAAATAAAATTATGCCAAATGAACGTAAATCATAATATACGACGGCGAGCATTAAAATGGCCCGAAAATAAAAATAGGTAAAAACCAGGGTTGAAAAGCCGCTTCGCGACTTTTCAACCCTGGCCCCGTCTGATCCGATGATATTCTTCAGTTTGCATAATTCTCACGATTTTCGATGACAAAAAATGAGAAACGCTACCCCTCTTCCCTTATATAACCTTCCACAACTTCCGGCGTATGCAAATTGTTTCCTAACAAAGAGGGTGGCCCATTTTTCAACAAAAAACTTAATTTTAACGTCGAAAACTGCTCATTTTTGAAAATTTTAGTGGTGTGCAGTCATCCCCAAGCCATTACGCACCTAATGGCGTATCAAACATGACCCTAACTACTCCCCTTATTGAGATACCACTGGAACAACCTGACGGAAGTTGCATGCAAATGTACACGGACACACACACAGACACTATTTAGTAGGATACTGGACTCTTTTGGTTCCCTGATTGCCCAATTGGCATTTGAACGCCTCGTGATCAATGTTGCCATATGGCTGGTGTTTTTCTTTTCGAAAACCTGCTCGAATGTCCCCTATCTCTCTCTCTCTCTGCCGCCGTCTCCAAAATTGTTTCTGCTAGCTTGCCCGTGCCCAGCACTCAAAAAGCCGAAAAAAATAATGTTTCAGAAATCTTTGTAGTTCGTCTATTTTCTTATCACAATAGTGTATGTCAATTAATTGCCTCATATAAACCCGAAGCGTTCTCAATTCAATTCGTCATTTTTCATCGTCCCCAAGGCTCTCTGCTAGCTTACTCAAAAAATTCTCAAAAGGTTGCTCGGTTCGGGAAAATGTTTCAAAAATATCCAAATTTTTGGCGCGTTTTTTGCTAAATAATTAGATGCATAAATAAATAAATAAGCCGCTTTCTTTGCATTAAATCAACCAAATATAATAACCCATATTTATTCAGAGCCGAATCCCGCGGATTCCACGCAAATGCTGTGTACAGTGAGAGCAAAAAAGGAGCACAAACAAAACACTGAAAACAGGCGAAAGAAGAGGACAATTATTGCGTAAAAAATCGAGCGGGCCAAAGAAAAGTTGATAATTTTAGAAAAAGCAGCTAAAGCTGCATAAATGAGGTTACGGGGGGGGGGGAACAAATTCACCACAGAATGATGATGTACTTGCAGCGCGTGATGAGCGTCTCCTTGCAGCGGCCGAGGTGGCGCAACGACTGCATACCGTACTTCATCGCCAGCTTGGCCTGAAAAAAACAAATAAATAATTCTCAAGAAATCATCTCCCTCTCTCTCATCCCAAATGATCTCTGCTAGCCTGCCCCCTCCCCCTCTCTCTCATCCCAAATGATCTCTGCTAGCCTGCCCCTCCCCCTCTCTCTCATCCCAAATGATCTCTGCTAGCCTGCCCCCTCCCCTCTCTCTCTCATCCCAAATGATCTCTGCTAGCCTGCCCCCTCCCCCTCTCTCTCATCCCAAATGATCTCTGCTAGCCTGCCCCCTCCCCCTCTCTCTCATCCCAAATGATCTCTGCTAGCCTGCCCCTCCCCCTCTCTCTCTCATCCCAAATGATCTCTGCTAGCCTGCCCCCTCCCCCTCTCTCTCATCCCAAATGATCTCTGCTAGCCTGCCCCTCCCCCCCTCTCTCTCATCCCAAATGATCTCTGCTAGCCTGCCCCCTCCCCCTCTCTCTCATCCCAAATGATCTCTGCTAGCCTGCCCCCTCCCCCTCTCTCTCTCATCCCAAATGATCTCTGCTAGCCTGCCCCCCCCCCCCTCTCTCTCATCCCAAATGATCTCTGCTAGCCTGCCCCCTCCCCCTCTCTCTCATCCCAAATGATCTCTGCTAGCCTGCCCCCTCCCCCTCTCTCTCATCCCAATTGATCTCTGCTAGTTACCCTGAAAAATGTACCTTTGGCGGCAGCTTGTCCCTCAACTCCGCTTCCGTCACATATCGCATCCCGTCCAGCTTTGGTTCTTTCTAACAATCAATAAAATTTAAATTGAAATCAAATAAAATACCGCGGATCTCATCTCGCGCTGTCGAATCTTGTCGGCCTGGCTGAGGTTGCGGGCGTGGAGGAACGTTTCGCGCTCGCAGCAGATCGTGTCGATCCTGAAAGCAAAAAACGTTATTGATTTTATTATTTTCTAAATTCCATTTATTTAAAGGGATTGAAAAGGCAAAACTCTCTTCTATCTTCCTCCAGAATCCGCAGGATTCTCTGCTAGCCTGCCTAAATTGTGGCGAAAATTAAACATTCACAGATCCACTCCAGAATCTCTATTTTCTAAAAATCGTTTTTGTTGTTTTTAGACATTAAACAATTAAAAATTCTTTAAAAGAAACCCAGCAATTTAAAGATATAAAAATCCGGCAAAGCGATAAAAAAATTGACTAGAAAAAAAATTATGTTTCAAGAAAATGCGTGAATTTCGCAGCATTTCTGCCAATAATGATTTGAATAGCTTCGGTTCGAAAAACATAAAACAAACGTACGTGGTGAGAATTTCGTTGAGATCGGCGACGGTGAGGCGGCCCTTCATGTAGGAGGGCACGGCCGCCAGCTCGTCCGGCGTCACCAAGAAGTTCGGGCCGACCGGGTCGTTGTTCTGAAAGTTGGAATTTTAATAATTTTCCGGGGGAAAATTAAAAAATACAACAAAAATGAAAAGATTTTGCCACTCAAAATCGTTTAAACTAAAAGCAATTGTATTTTACAAAATTAAAACAATAAAAACCGGGAAAAACGTGAACGTAATTACTAAATCTAAAAAACGGAAACATTTAAAACCACCTCTTCTTCGCCGGCCTCGCTGTGCTGCTTCGGCTTTTGCGGCGCGACGTCGTCGACCTGCTTGGCGTCGGGCTTGGCAAGGAGCGCGGGTGGGGCCAGGTCCTCCTGAAAAAAACAGTAAAATTAATGGCAAAAAGGGGTAGAAATTTGGAAAAGGGTTTCCGAATAAAAAAGCTCGAAATTTCAGCAATCCTTCGAAAATTTAAGTTTCAAAGCAGCCCTGCGGTTTTCAGCTTTTGCCAGTAATAATTTCGCTCATTGAAATCTTCTGAACGCCCGGGCAAGCTAGCAGAGATTCCGGGGGAAAACCGGGTCAGAAACTCTCAAAAAAATGAGAATTAAAAATTTAATGACATTTTTAGAGCGCTCTTAACTTAAATGATCCAGAAAAATCGAGTTTATCGATTTGGCATCGTCAGAATATTTTTTGAAAGAGTATTTTCAAAAATGGATGTTGGCAGGTTTTCAGGCCCCAGGCAAGCTAGCAGAGTTTCCTAGGGAAAATTCATCCTAAAACCCCGAACCTGTCGTTGGCCATAGGCTTCGAGGAGTCGTTGCTGCGCGGCGTCGACCTCGGCCTTCACCTCGGCGCTCTCGGCGAGCAGTCGCCTCAGCCGGCCAATCTTCTCGTTCAGGCGCGTGATCGCTGAAAAACAAGGTATACTGACACCAAAATGTCGTCCGATTACGTCATATTAACACCCAATAACTACTTCCTAAGAAGAAACACTTATTTTGCAAAATTTATTACTGCAAAGCCCTAAAAAACTATAAAAACCTTATAACGCTCCAAAAACACGTAAAATAGAAAGTTATTACGCTTTCGCAAAACTCTAGAAGAGCTGTGTAAACAGAATTACTTATTTTCAATATTTCTTTTTCAAAAAAAGGCTGAAAAAGCTATCAAACCCATCAAAAGCTTTAAAAACAAAGACAC